TCAATATTGGGTACAGAAACCAAAAGAGTATGTATAATGCTAGTTGGTTAACAATTTATCAAATTGATACAGTCAAACCAAAATTTATTCAGACACCTTCAACATTTCTCACATTATCACAGTTTATTCGCTATAGTTTAGAAAATGGTAATAAAATATGACAAGAACTCAGAGTTAAACTGTGTCAGAACAAATTCAGCTTGATAATGTTTGATAACTTTGATAGAAAGGTATGTAATAGATTGCAATCAACCAAAAATTATTCAGATAACTGTTAGTATGACAGTATTTACACAACTATGAATACTTAGTCGGGCAACCCTTAGCCTCAATGACAGCCTGTAGTCTCCTGGGCATGCTGTCAACCAGGTTCATGCAAACCCCCGATACCGATACCAGTATCGGTATCGGTGCATCCCTATTCATAACCATGCTGAAAATAAGTCAGTAATGTTAGCTGTTGCTAACTGTCTAGCTAACAAGCTTGCTGGTGCTAACTGTCTAGCTAACGAGCTTGCTGGTGCTAAATTGAGGTAATTTAAAAAAACTCGAGTAAAATTGAAAACTGAGTACTTTTACTGGAGTAATATTTTATTATACGGATCTGTACTTTTACTCAAGTACTTGATTTGTGTACTTCGTCCACCACTGCACACAAGGTTTACATATAAGCACAGTTGGTTATTTCTAAAATGAAAGTAAACAGCTGAGAGAAAAACGGATGCCTGCCTGTATATTAGATGTGTGTCTTAAAGCGACAGCAGACTAATAGAAATAAACATGCTGCCGCTTGTCATTAAAGGGATAGTTCACCCAAAAATTAAATTTTTGTCATTATTTACTCACTCACTCATGTTGTCCCAAACCTGTATTAATTTCTTTCTTGTGCTGAACACAAAAGAAGATATTTTTTGAAGAATCTGGATAACCATGAAGAATGAAGGATAACCTTAATGGAAATATAAGGGTTTGCGTGAAGGTTAGGAACAGGGTTGCGAACCAAAAGTATCATTAGCTCATTATAAAACAGTAGAAGTCAATGAAAAGTCCCCACCCTCATAGAAAAACAAGTGCGTGAGTGTGTTAGAGAACGGGAGAGAAAGTGTTGTATAATAAGTCAGGTACAGCTGACAGTGGTGGCTCTCAGACTGCAGCTCTATAAATAGACGAAGAGAGATGGGAATAAATCAGCCAGTCAGCATCTTCCTCTCACTCTCATTCAGCTCCTCCCCTTTCTCTGTTCCCTCTTCCTCCTCCAACCCCCTTTGGCTCTCTTTCTTCACCTCCTCCCCTGCTCTGTTCATTCTCTCTCTCCCCCTTTCTTTCTCATTTGGCTTTCTGTCCATCCTCAGTAATTTACATTAATATTAACTGCATAACCAGTCCTCCTTCAGCCTCTCCTATGTCCGTACGTTGCTTTTTTTCTGTCCTGTTTTGCTTTTAGTTTGTTCTGTTGAACACAAAGATGAAGGCAGCGGTCGACACTCATATCAAAGCAGTTTTAGACAGGTTGTAATATGTCACGGGTCATTGTCCTATATGCCATGCCCATTGAAGCTGATTTAGGTTGTGAGCTGTCGCCAGAAACACGTGGAGTTAAAAAATGATATTTTACTGCTGCAGCTGTGGGTATGAATGTTGATTAAATTTCCTGTGTCATATGTATCACTAGCAGCGATGCTGTATCGATTCAGTTGGAATCGCATCTTTGTTCTTCTCTGCGTGTTATAACTGAAGAGAATCAGTTTCCAGTGACTTTCCTGCACAAATAAAGGTCATATAAATACAAAGCAGCGGTATCCACATTTATCTCTGTTCTCTGCGCATGGACCTCTTGACATTCACTCTGCGGGGGGACGGGCAGTGTGTGCCATCCTCTCTGAAACCATTAGTCCCCATTGCTTATTTTCTTTGAGCCCATAGTCTTGGATTCACATACTGTAGAGTAGACATCTGACCAGGTGAAGCCTTAGTACTGTATGGTCATTTAGGATTTTCACTTTATCAGTGTTCAGAATGGGCATTAGTTTAGTCTGGATGCAAATAGGTTTACATGAGCCTGGGTTAAGCACCTTTGTCTGCCTTTACACATGCTTTTCTTGATTCAAAAAAAGCTAAACTGTCACTAAAAGCAAATCCTGTATGAGTGGAAGGGCTGCTGTTTACCACAATATCCTAAGTTCAACTTGAACTGTCTTTTCTTGTCTCTCCAGAATCCTGTCCACAGTGGGCTCAGACTTTGATCTGAGGACGCTGCGTGCTGTTCGAGTGTTGAGACCCCTCAAACTGGTGTCTGGGATTCCCAGTGAGTAACATTTTGTCATCATTTCCTCATGTATATGTACAGGTGTTGGACAAACTTGTGAACACCCATTACTATAGGGGTTAATATAATTTGTGTAGGCTAGTACAAGCTATGGGTGAAAGGGTGACTTGTCAGACTTCCAAAAAGGCCAAATCTTGGGAGGCCGTTTAGCATGAGCTTCTGTGACTGTAACAGCCCAATTTTTTTGTTTTTAAGAACAAAAGTCTTTATGATCATAACTGTGTACACGAAGCATAGCAAGACTTTATCAGCAAAGAAGAATAGTGGGTGAAAACTGAAAGTGAGTGATAGGGACTATCGAACACCAAGAAGGGTTTTTGTCCAAACAACACAGAACTACTGAAGGAAAGTGACAGCAAACCTTTATTTTTCACCTTGGAGACACTGTATCCACAAAAACAGTCCACAGAGAACTTCACAAAGCCAACATCCATGAAAGAGCTGTAATTGATAAAACTTTAATCACAGGCGCCAATACTAAAATTTGAAAAAAATATGGTGTCATGATCATAAAACCTGGACAGTTGGAGCACCAATACACACTTCAACAACTGGCTATTTTAATCACTTAAATATTCTGATGTGATTTGTACTAAAAAAAAATGCCTTCACTGGATGCATCACACTAGGTTTGATCTCACTGAAGACACATGGCATGTCACATGACCAGTTTGATGTGTTTAAAAATGCACCTGCAAATGTGATATGAGAGCTCGGTTAAAGGGGAGGGTTCAATTGTGTTAGGTTCCTCAAATAAAACTATCACATGACCTGAATAGAGTTGAATATAGTGCAGAATAAGGATTGCTTTTATGATGCTGATGCAGTGTATTTGAAGTACGATATCTATCAGTTTACGTTATACCCTTTGTGCCCATTATAGCCTCTGCCAAGCTTTGCAATTCAATTTAATGCTGGGAAAAAAAATAATAAACTAAACTAAACTAAAGCCGTTGACAATTTCAATATGCTTGCTCTCTTTCTTTTCTTCCAGGCTTGCAGGTTGTGCTTAAATCCATCATGAAGGCCATGATCCCTCTGCTGCAGATCGGTCTGTTGCTCTTCTTTGCCATCCTCATGTTCGCCATCATTGGTCTGGAGTTCTACATGGGCAAATTTCACACTACTTGCTTTGACAAAATCACTGGTAGGCCTCTATGTGCTTGTTCTCACTCGCAGACTTCTTCATTCATGATCTCCAAAACTGTCACTATCACAAATAGACCAATTTAATTATGTCTGAAAAAAAAACCTTTTCTTTCTGATAGATGAGATCCGGGAGGAGTTTCCATGTGGGAAAGAGGCTCCCGCTCGGACGTGTCCTAATGGAACAGAATGTAAAAAGTACTGGATTGGACCTAACTATGGAATTACCCAGTTTGACAACATCCTGTTTGCCGTGCTCACAGTCTTCCAGTGCATCACCATGGAGGGCTGGACTGACCTGTTATACTATGTAAGTCACATTGCAAAACTTCACTAAAGAGCTTCCTAATTGGATTTTTTGACTTACGCTTAAATAGACCCCAAACAGAACATATCAGGAGTAGCACTAAGCAATTATTTATTTTGATTTGCAGTGTAATCTGAATATCTGTGTTAATACTGGAGGTGACCAAAATCTTATTTTATGAGTCACTTTTTATGAGGAAAATTGTATGTTTTTCAATGATTGAATGACTTGAATACTTAAATTATTATTCACATGAATGACAAGAGAATGTTTCAAGAGAAATGTTCAGTTCTGATTGTTCTAAAGTGCTTATACATACATGCATACATACACACTACATACACACACTACACACTACTGTTCATTTGCTTGATCAAAAATACAATAAAAACGGTTAATTGGGAAATTGTGAGCAATTTTAAGTATTAATGTTTTCTATTTTAATATATTTTAAAATGTAATGTATTCCAGTGATGGCAAAACTGAATTTTCAGCATCATTACTCCAGTCTTCAGTGTCACATGATCCTTCAGAAATCATTCTAATATGCTGATTTGCTGCTCAAGAAACATTTCTTATTACAATCAATGTTGAAAACAGTTGTGCTGCTTAATATTTTTGTTGAAACTGGGATGCCTTCTGAATTCTTGGATAAATAGAAAGTTGAAAAGAACAGCATTGGAATAAGACATTTTTTGCAACAGTGTAAAAGGTTTTACTGTCACTTTTGATCAGTTGCATTCTTGTTGAAAAAAAGTATTAATTTCTTTTTAATATATATTATTATAGCAGCACAGCACTCATTGTGCATGAAGTGTAAAAAACACTTTTGTCTCAGATGGGCTTGAAATAGGTGGGCCTCACCTTTTAACCCGGGCATCCTGTATTATTTTGGTTTTGATTAATCCTCAGCGTAGAGGATTACTAATTTCTTTTACTTAAAGATTATTAGAAAGTAACCAATCTAAGGGACTGAACAGCCCCACCTAATCCACATCCCCTGTATCTTTCAGTCGCAGACATACAGTAAGCAAAATCTCGCTTTATAGAGTCAAAGACGGTGCAGTGCATTTATAGTCTTATCGCTCATGGCCAGCCTGTCCACTCTGAACAGAGAGCACTGTTTCCGGTGAGTTCACCCGCCCTCTGTGACAGAAAATAGGGCAGTGATGTCAATGCTTTGTTCGAGGTTTTCACAAACTAATGATGTTACCTCAGAGACCAGTTTAATCCCAATGCCACGTCAATCCATCTCACAAATCAACAGCAGATTTACCTGAAGGATTAAAGGTTTGTTTTTAGAAATGATCTTGCCAATGAGAATTAGCCTGAGGATGGTGATTCCATATGACTAAGGCTTGCAGTTCTGTACAGCCCAATCAGATGTCGTCATCTCTTACGTCATCCCTTATTTGGTCTTACTGTATTTTTATCCCTGTTTTCTTTTTATTACTCTTGCTGCTTGGCTCGCTGTACCCCCAATTTTTACTTGCCCCAGCTTTTTTCTTCCTCCTGTTTCCCTCCTCTCTCCGGTGAACAGGGCTCTATATATAACAGACCCTGCTCAACTGAAGTTATTCTTACAGCTGCTGAGAAAGAACCCTATGAAAATTTAATTGCAAAAAATCTGCAGTACATACTGGGGCTTGCAGAGCTCTCAGACATGCAAATTGAAGGAGCGGACGAAAAGGAAGTGGGGCAGATCAAGGGAGACAGAAAAAAGGACAGGGAGGAAGACGATGGGGCATAGCTACAATAAAATGCAATTGGATATTACAAATATTGTTGGTTCTTTGACAAATTGCTTTAGTTCTTTTCGATTTGCATTAAAGCGTCTGCAAAATGCATAAATGTAAATAGAAAATAAAATCTGAAGATCTCAGCAGATTCAGCTGGGTTATTTTAAAATATCCTTAAAGGATGAGCTAGTTTACTTCAGATATGAGTTCCAAACCCATATGACTTATGGGTTTTTTGGAACGCAAATGGAAATATTTAGCAGAATTTCCAGGCTGCTTTTTACAATCAGTGAAAGTATTCGATTTTCAATGAATGACAACAACTTTCAGTCTGTTCCTCATACACAGCTATTGTAAGCTTCAGAACACATGAAAAATAATGCACACTAGGGCTGCACGATAAATCGCATGCGATATTTACATCACGTGCGGGCTTTCATATGGAGCAGCATTAACTAAACAGAGCCGTTGTTCACCGACAAGCTGCGCAAAACATGCGCAAAATATGATTGTGGTTTTGCGCAGCTTGTCAGTGAACAACGGCTCTGTTTAGTTAATGCTGCTCCATGTGAAAGCCCACACGTGATGGAGATTTACCGCTGATTACAGAACCGGCTTTACTGACAAGATGAGCATTAAATATCGCATGCAATTTATCGTGCAGCCCTAATGCATATACGCCATATGGCCTACTTTTATGATTCTTTAATGGTGCTTTTTGTGTCCTTTTGAGCTTGACAACCCTTGTTCCCCATCCACTTTCACTATGGAAGAGAGTATCCTGGACATTCTGCTAAACATCTTTTGCATTCCATGGAAGAAAGAATGTCAATACAGGTTTTGAATGGCATGAATATAAGTAGGTTTTGAATGGCATGAATATAAGTAAATGATGACACAGTTTTCATTTTTGGGTGAGCTATCCCTTTGAAACAAAATGTGTCCTCTTGAAATGCTTAAATACCAAAATGTGCAGAGATTGTAACATCATCTGCATTTTTTCTAAAGCAGCACTTGTGGGCTGTTTCGATCTGGGCATTTGTAGCCTGGGCTTCTTCCCTAGAGGCAGCCAGTGGAGCAATGCCACACAATATGGCTGCCCATTTGTTCCTCTCTGCAGTGACAGGGTGCAGCGGTGCCGAGCACCCAGCTGTGTGTACCACAGATGAAGCAGCCCCAGCCAGATGGTTGCCATTCTCAGGTTGCACGTCGCATGGTACGTGGTGTCCTAGGATCTGCCACGGTTCTGTCATAGATGTTCTCATCCTCTGTTAGTGGGGTCAAATTTCCCATCACCTTATAAAAAATACCAAATAAAAACAGCAAACAATCTGATATCTTTCTACTTGATGCAACTGGAAGTGAGCTGTGGAGAGTCTTGGGAAGACAAACACAAAGAAAACCAGATGAACAAGCTGTACTCTCAGCTGGAGAGAGGAAAAAAATGTTTGGATGTGTGCCTCATGGTACTGACTGGGCTGTTTTATGCTGTTACAGAGCAATGATGCTTCAGGGAGTGCATGGAACTGGATGTACTTCATCCCCCTCATCATCATCGGCTCCTTCTTCATGCTCAATCTTGTGCTGGGTGTGCTGTCAGGGTGAGAAACATCTCTCAGAGAGTGGGAGCTCTTCTCAAATTCAGCTCTGCCATTTTTTCAGGTCTACAGTCTTGGTGCATTGTCTGATTTGATAGTTTTGTGGATTATATGTGAAAATATACAGTTTGTGGATATTATGTTTTAAAAATGTATTGTGTATTGTGTGATATCTAGTGTACCACAAATGAAAATTACTTTAGATTAAAAATATTTTACAGTTACAATTATAATTTTTTCTCTTATATATTTTTTTTATTATATCATCAGCAGAAAAACTGAGTGAACAGCATATTGTGATTTTGTGGAAAGAAATATGATCTTTTATACAAAAAAGTCAGTGTCACAAATTTTCTTATTTTATTAGTGAATTAGTGTGGAATATTTCAATCATTTTAGAATCATTTTGTCTTTTTTTTTGTTTTGAAGTTTTTGAAATTTAAACGTTTATTTTCAGATTTATATTACATTTTGAATCCCAGATTTTTAGCGTTATCTCAGGCATTGTTTAATATATGTTAATTAATTAGATGTACATAAAATCAGTGAATTTAATTTATTTTGCACATTCTTTATTAAAAAGTCCCTCAAAAATATTGACATCCAAAGCTGAAAATGCTTAGAATTATGCCTAAATATCTTATGTTAATTATGGAGTCTCACGTTTGACACGCAGAAGAAAAAATAGGTGTAATAGAATTAGTTCCCATCTTATTAATTTGCAGTGGCGGCTCGTGGGTTTTAAAATAGAGGAGACACACTAATTGTATTGGTCTGGGATCCCTGCCGATTATTATTATTATTATTATTATTATTATTATTATTATTATTATTATTATTATTATTATTATTATT